CGCCCGCCCTGGAGCGCGTCAACCTGGGGTACGTCCGACCGCGGGGCCCGGCCGGTAGCTCAGCCCCTCGCCGCGCGGCGCCGGGACTCGGGGCCCAAAGTGACCAGGGCAGTGAGAGCGCAGAGCCCCGCAGGATGCTGAGGCGGCTGCTCTCGCAGCTGGCAAAGCCTGGGAGCCCCAACACGGGGCGCAAATTGGGGGATGGATCACGGGGCACACCAGGGCTTCTGAAAGCTCTGAGCTCACTACGTAATCCTTCCGTGTTACCCCAACGCTTTGCATCTGTAACGTGGAACTCGGAGCCTGAACCAGAATTCTTCGGGGAAAAGATAGTTCAGAGCTCAGACGGGGCTGGAAAATGAGCGCGTGTATTAAATCTCGGAGGTTTTGCTTGACTTTGGAACGCCACGGAATGCTAATTATCTCTGTGCTTTCATCTACTGAGTTTATGGGAAATAACACTTTGATTATTTCAGGCTCCAAGCTGGTTCTGTTCTGAGTGGTGTAAAGGGACAGGGAACAGCTTGTACCCAGGCTCAGCTGGACCCTTAACGCAGCTTCCAGCGCGTGTCCTCTGTCAGACAATGAAATGATGAGACCGACCAGCACTGACTGATCCCTGCACCCATAACCTCTGAAGCATCCGTATTGCACACAGAGAATAGAAAAAGATTTCATTGAAATCTTCCCCCTTGTCTGCCTTCTGCTTCCAGGCAACGTCCCCAGCTCCCAGCTCCTGTCCGCCCTTTCCCTCCACTGCTTTTGTCAGTGTTGTCCAGAAGTGCCACAGACAGACCCTCACCGTTAAGTACTTTTAAGGACTCCGAGAGCCCCCCTGCGGGACAACCCGCCGCTGTCGGCCCCGGCCCGGCGCTGGGCAGAGCTCCCGGCGCAGCGCCGCTCCCGCTGAAGGGCTCGGCTCCATTTCTGCCCCCCTGGTTAAACCCGGCCTAGCCTGTCCCTATGCTCACGGAGATCGGGGGGTTCTAGGTCTGCGTTAACAAGCCGTGTGTGCCCCACCACACCCCTGGGGTGGGAATAAAAGTCCCGATGTCCAACCGCAAAGGGTGACAGCACAGCCCGGCCGAGGGCCAGGGACTGTGGAACCCCCCTGCGCCATGGCCAGGCACAGCCGCCCCCGTGCAGGTCCCCAGGAAGGTCACGCCCCAGTACCCCCAGTTGTACCCAGTTCCCAGGGGGGTCCATGGACCTCGGAGACGCTGCAGCGTTGCGGAAGCCCTGGACTGAGAGGCAGCAGTGTGTCCAGGAGCTCCACCCTGAGAGGAGCTCCTGGCTGTCCTGCACCGCAGCCCAGAGCTGGTGTTCCCGTGGGCACGGCTCTGCAGTCCTTCCCCACCCGCCGTGAACAGAGCCTTCGGGGAGCTGCTCTGGAAGAGTTACCAAATTTTGTGCCAACATGAAGGAAGGACTTAAAATTTCATCTTGGCAACCAGAAGTGCTATCTACCTTCAGGCATTTCCAGAGCTGCTCTTTTGGTTTGGTTCTGAGTTTGTTTGCTTGCTTGTTTAAAACCCCTGAGGCTTAGCTGCCTGACTAAACCCAGGTCTGGGGTGAAATGTCTGTTGCAGTTACAACAGCTTGCTTCAACTGACCCAAACGGATTTTTCCGGCCTGGAGAAATTGGAGTTACTGATGCTGCACAGCAATGAGATAAACACAATCCCGGATAAAGTGTTCAGTGATTTACATTCCTTACAGGTAAGGACTAAATGACCTAATCTTAATTAGGATATGACCTAATCTCATTTTTTGTTACGACTTTTAAAAAATCTGCAGTAATACTGATAAGTGGAGACAGACCAGCAGTCTGTAGCATTGTGGTTTCCTGTTTCTGATTGTACCCACATGAAAGACGAGGCCCTTCAAGGTCCAGAATCCTACGGGGAATGGCTTCCCCTCCCGGGTACAGGGCAGAGAGCACGATGAAGATACTGCTGGAGTCTGTCAGCAGCATCCTAACGGGCAACTGCACTTCAAACTTCCACATGAGAAAGATTGCAGAGTTCCAAGTACTGCATCTGTGGTGGGAAACTTGGCTTTAGTTCATTTGTTAGTAAATACTTGTTTCTGGAGGCTTGTTTTCCATCCAGATTTCCTTTCCCCATCAGAGAGTCCTGTCCCTTTCTATCCTTTCTTAAAAAGAGGCTCCTACTGAACAGAAACTGAACATACTACATATAAACATTTTAATGCTTTAAAAAACCCTACAGTTCCTTGGGTTTTATAATTTAATATATATTTGTGGACTTTTAAAATGTAGTATTTGATGCCTGTTTTGTTCTTCAACTGAAATGTTACCTATTTATAGAATATTATCTGTATTTATGTATATTGTAAAAATTGGTAACCGGGCAGTGTCCGTGTAGATACTCATACGTGAAGAATTACTTACAGCACTATTTAGGAACAACCATCCCCAACTAATCGATGTACAGGTTGCACTTATCCTCTGATTAAATTTCCATCTAGAGCTGTTGTGAACTGCTGTAGAGAAGTAAGAGCGTTGTAGCTGTGATGAACTAAAGAACATGAGAGACCAGACAGAAACGCCAGGACTGGCTCAGCTGCTGGTTTTAGAGGATCAGGGGGTGAGAGGGAGAGGCAGAAACCAGCCAAGCTTCGGAGCACACAGATCCTCAGGTTTCAGTAACCCCACAAGGGCAGTCCTGGGCCTGAAAGCTTCCTCCTTAACTCCCTGCAGCTCCCTTCATAAAAGCAGCTTCTCCTCCCTTACCACCAAGCAAAAGAATACTTCAACAATGTGCCAGCCTTGTTCATCTCTCAGTTACAAATTTGACTTTTAACCTATCGGCAACAACATGGCACCCGAGAGCTGAGGTCTGGCAAGTATAGAGGTCACGGGCACAGATCCTGAAACCGGGAGCACCCTCAGCAGTCCCACGGGGTAATCCTCACACAGCAGAGCCTGCTGCATGCGTTTTTATAGTTGTAACAACACTGGCTGCCACAAAAATCACTACCACCGTTTCTGGTCAGATTTTGCTTGCCCTCTTCATAAGTGTGGTTTAGTTGGGATTTTTTTTTTTTTGAGTGACAAGCAAGCATTGCTTTATATTTTTTTTTGTCACTGTTTTTTGTAAGCGTGACTTCAGAAGTGCCACCCTGATGGGCTGCTGGAAGAAGAAAGCATCTTTCTAGTCCTACAGTTAACATTGCATTTAAAAATAATTCCTCCTACTAAGTTTTTTTCCAATCACTTACATTACTGGTCTGGTGAAGTACTTTCACGTCACAGAGTAAGCATCAATCAAATTTTGTTAGGAGTCTTATAACAATATAATGTGGGTTAATACTGTATGCTTGTTTCTTTTTCATCAACAGGTCTTAAAAATGAGCTATAACAAGGTCAGAGTACTTCAGCAGGATGTTTTTTATGGTCTAAAGAGCCTGGTACGGTTGCATATGGACCACAATAAAATTGAATTTGTAAATCCCAATGTTTTCTACGGACTCACATCACTCAGGTTGGTCCACTTGGAAGGAAATTTACTTAAGCAGCTTCATCCAGATACTTTTGTCACCTTGTGCTACAGCCAAATATTTAAAATATCCTTCATGAGGCACATATATTTGTCTGACAACATGTTGACTTCACTACCACAAGAAATGTTCTCCTACTTGTCTGAGCTAGAGAGCATTTACCTTCATGGAAACCCGTGGTCCTGTGACTGCCATCTGCAGGGGTTTGCAGAATGGGCAAAAGAGAGACCAGGTGAGCTGAAGGCTTCGCTTACGCTTTCTAACCGTGTTATAGCATCTTCTTTTTGATGAAGGCAGTTGTCCTTTATTTATTTATGTATTCTCCCAGGAAAGCCTGGGAGACAGGATTTTTGTGGGTGCATGTAATCAGGATAAACAGATGGACACCATTCTGTTTCCCAGATTGACTGAACCTTGTGGTCTTACCCCATTCCTAAGCGCAGCTCTCCTGAACAGAACGTTTTCCTTGGCCAGGCCAAAGCTTCGGTGCACCAGGAGAATCCACTGGGAATAAGGAAGCTGGTTCCCACGTAACTGGCAAGAGCAAAGGCCACACTGTACTCGAGTCTGTGAAAAAGAAATAAGGAAGGGGACTGCGGGTCTTTCCCTGTTGCTGCCCGGGCAGGGGCTGCACTCCCGGCGCAGCGTTGCCCCCGCGGGCTGGCCACGGCCCGCAGCAGAGCCTCCCCCCAGGCGTAAAACCGCGGGGACGGGGGGCGCGGGTGGAGCTGCGGCAGCAACGGGCCTCCAGCAGTTGCATCAGAGGAAAGTCAGAGGTTTTGTGTTACTTTAGGTTGGTAGGTTACTTTAAGATAAACTTCGTTAATATTTTATTGAAGAAGACAACTTGCTGGTAGCTCTATGTCTTTTTTAATACTAAAAATTGCATCACAAAAACTCACTACATTTTTCTTCCCTTCAGATGTTACAAAGTGCAAAAAAGACAGAAGTTCTGGTGTTCAGCAATGCCCAGTTTGCGACAGCCCCAAAAACCATAAGGCCAAAAGCTTGGTGGATATCCCTTCTGCGTCTCTAGCCTGCACCAAGCCAGCCATACAGGACTCCCTGAAATTTAAAAACCTCACAGTGCCGGATGATGGGGATTTCAGTTCCATATCTCCCAGGGACTTCATTGCTCCTATAGGATCCGTGATTCTGAACATGACTGACCAAGCAGGCAGTCGAGGTGACTTGGTTTGCAACATCCAAAAGCCTAAAGAAATGTCCCCCATCTCATTTGACAGAGAGGGCAACAGTACAGTGCTCAGAACATCGCTCTCGGCATTTCTCGTCTGTGGCATCGAGTATGAACACATTCAGCAGCTATGGAGCATCCTGGCACTGTACAGTAACTCTCCCTTAAAGCTGGAAAGGAATGTCCTAGTGACTAACGTGCCTTTTATTAGCTACAAATACAAACAGATCTACTCTGAACAAGATGAACTTTTTACCAATATAGAGACTGACCTGAGAGCCGACCCATCCTGGTTGATGCAGAGCGAAGTGGCACTGCAGCTCGACAGGACAGCGACCACGCTGAACATGCTGCACATCCAGTACTTCACAGACGCACGGATTATTCTGCCCGGCGCTGACAAAAAACAGGTGAGAAATAACTGGACCATCATCTCCAGGGACAACAAAACACAAACAGAGCACACTGTCCTAGTCGGGGGCACCGTAGAACTGGAGTGCCAAGCAGCTGGAGAACCAGCTCCTGCCATCGCGTGGATACTGGCTGATGGGAGCAAAGTTCGGGCTCCCTACATCAGTGAGGATGGAAGGATCACGGTGCTGGGAACCGGGACGCTGACATTACGGACGGCTGACACTTTTGACACTGGGCTTTACCACTGCATAGGCACGAGCTACAACGATGCGGATGCTCTCACATTCAGAATTACTGTGCTCGACCCTGACGTGGAACACAACAGCGTAAACGGAGCCCAACTTTCTGCATCTGTCGGCAGCACACTCGACCTCCCCTGCACAGCCAGTGCCGTCCCAGATGCTGCCATCAGCTGGGTGCTACCTGAGCGTGAGATTCTTTACCATTCTGTAAGAAACAAACATATTTTTGACAATGGTACCTTGAGAATACAAGGGTTAACAGAGCGAGACAGCGGGTACTTCAGATGCGTTGCAGCCAACCAGTATGGTGTTGATCTTCTGGTTTTCCACGTGTTAGTCAGAAAGGACAAAACCACCCTAAAGGAAAAGCTCGTGGCTGGGGGAGAATGGGACGAGGGTGATGGATCTGGCAACGCAGTGCTGGCCTCTGCTACAGCACGGGAGCATCCTCCAGCTCCTCGAGCCACCCTGACAGCGAAGAGGGAATCTGCTGCCTCGGCACCCAGAGAAGGGGCGGCAGGGAGTGCGCGTGGAGGGAGCAGCTACGGGAGGGTGACTTACAGGCACTACAGGGACAAACCACGGCGGCGGTTTAGGGGACACCGGAGACAGTTTGTTTCCTCAGCCAGGAGAGTCGATCCGCAGCGCTGGGCAGCCTTTCTGGAAAAAACAAAGAAGAACTCAACACGGGTAGAAAAACAAGAAGTTGCATCAAAACCGCCTGTTCAAGTCCGTAAGCTCTCAGAAGTACCTGGGGATGAGGAGGAGGCATCTGGTGATCTCGTATCTCCAGAGGAAGAATTCATGATCCCAGTAACAGAGACGGCCGCGCCGGGGCGAGCGACGGAAAGTCTGGTAACTGCGGGGCCCGAGGTGACCACGAGCAACACTCCTGCCAGGAAATCCTCGCTCCTGGCTGCAGAGGCAGTAACTCCCCTTCCCTCTCCCTCTTCACAGTCTGTGTCTTCTGGCAGCAGAAGGCCACAAACATCTCTAAAACCTACAACTGCGAACTCCCGGGAAGGATCCGATTTAAGTCACATATCAGCAAATGGCATAAAACAATCAACTGCATCAAATGGAGCAAGTAGAACATCTACACTCTTCCCCGCTGGGCTAAGCTTGGTACAGTCTGGGGTAGGTAATAACCAGCATTTAAAACTTGTATCTACAACACCCCCGACAGATGTTACGGACACCAGCAGGTCTGTAACTTCCCAAAACACAGTGGAGAAGCAGAATGTTTTCACCGAGTCTGCTGATAATATTTCTACCAAAACAGATCACCAGGTACCTGTTGTGACAGTTGGTGAACCAAGTCCTGAGCTTGGTCCCATTTATTCTCAGAATACTCAGAGACGAGTAACTCCTAAGCCGCCGTTGGCCTTGGCTATTGTTCCTCATCAGCAAATTCAGATTATTCAGGACGCTACAACTCACACCCCCCAGGCCCAGCAGCAATATGGGAGACAAAGGAAAATTTCTGGTAGGAGACGAATTGTTAGACCAGGATATATTGCAAGTATGAAAGAGCACAGATACAACTTTGGGAGGCCAGGATCTGCCAGAGGAAGTACAGCTGTGGCTCCAGATGTTCAACCGAATATAAAGGATGTATCACATTTACCAACTTTAAGTAATTTAGGCAGCTCCATCAACCCATTTAGCCCAGAAGTGCCTCTGTCCTCCCCCTCTGCCATGACTGCGCCGCCGGAGCACCCCGCGGGTACTCACCAGGACACGGCATTGCTCGGGGAGGAGGAGAACGAACCTGGGGCCAGGCAAAAAGCTACTACGACAGTCTGGCCTTTCTTTGCCAAGGGCACCCAGGACACTGCTCCGTGGAGACTGGGGAGCAGCGCTCCACTGCAGACAAATGCTGACAGAGTCCAACCCTTCAGCACCACACTGCCGGTGGCAATCCACCCAGCTCACGCTGCTGCAGGAACTACACCCGCCCTGAGCACAGAGACAGCTTCTGCCCCTGAATCAGTCTCACCTAGTGTTAAACCTCAATCCTCACCCCAAAGTTCCCAAAGAGGAGAAATGACTTGGGAACGTCTCTCTGGAAATGGTGCTCAAAAAGAGGTTCCGAAGGAGCTACAAAACCAACAGAGAGAGACGCTTCCATCAACAGAGATGTCGACTGTGCTTCCTGAAACTACAGCAGCACTGGCTCTGCCCAGGGGGTCTCCTTTGCACTTTCTGCCTCTTTCAGCAGGTGGGAACCACAGCAACGGTGCCTGGTCTTTAAACAAACTCGTTCATTACGGCAGCAGTGACTCAGAAGAACACCTCCCCACTGCAACCAAAGGAAGGGATGTGACAAGTCTGGAGCCAACAGTTGCACCTATTATTGCTCCTCAGAGTGACACCAAAATCACCAAAAGTAAAATATTCAGAGTGGGAAGAAAGAGAGGTCAGAGGAGGAGGCGGCCACCTAAAACGTCTACACCAAGTGTGACTGCAGGGCACAGCGCCACCGCGGTCCCGCTGGTGAATACCTGTCTCTTATAC